ATTTCAAAAATTAGTGAAAGAGCCCATTTACATAAGTGCCTTAAAAATACTTTTAACACAAATATCATACAATATTTTTTCTACAAACCGTAATAAAAAGCAATAACGCAGTAACAAATTGGATTTTTAAATGAATAATAAATTGGAAGCATCTTTCCTACATAAAATTCTCGAATTTGACATTCGTCAAAAAATCCATACAACCAGCACCTTGTTTTACAGGTAACGAAATGTCTTTTCAGTTTCTTGAAAGTCTGTCGTGGTCAGGAATGCTTTTTGCTAAAAATGCAACAAAATACAGAAAAAAAGAGGGTTGCATCGATTTTTCGAAAAATATAGATGAGGCGGCCAATCGGGCTACCTCAGTTGTTCAAATTTCACCATTAATATCAATGTAAATAACTGAAAATACAAACTTTTTTTGACGTCCGCTCTCAAAATTTGATGTTTCACTTTTAACACTAGTGCTATAAAGACTTTATGGCACTAGTGCGATAAAGTAACATTTTTAATGCTTCGGGGCGGTGTTAAAAATTGCATTTTTAACACGTTTGTAGAAAAAAACATTTTTGAAATTGAGAAAAAATGATATTAAAACCTGAAAAAATGTCAAGATTTATTAAAATGAATTCATGGTTTGAAATGACAATTAATGACAATGACAATCATTAATTAGGGTAGTTATTTGCCTAGGAAACGTTATGTCAAAAATTTGACATCTGTTTTTTTAAGAAAAAGACCCGAAATGACAATTCATAGGCGACAACTTTCGTATGAATTTCTGAACGCTTGGTGTGACCAATGGAGCATCTCCTCAAAAAATTTCAAGAAATGTATTAAGATTAGGTACTTTTTTTTGTTGTTCATTTTTTTAATTTGAAGAAAAAACTTTAATTCCTATTTTTGTTTTATTTATATTTGGTGGGATCAATAATCCAATTCACGTGGCTCCGGTTTAACAAACCACAACATACCGCTCAAATTCGAGTGGTAGGTATCCACACGTCATTTTGTAACCGGGTTAGAAAACGGTATGTCATTTCTCTAACCGTTTTGTAACCCGGTTAGTTAAACCGGAGCCACGTGAAAAGAACTCTTGGGATTATGGGAGGAATGGTTGACATTGTTGACATAATCACACAATCACACCGCAGCCACACCAAAAAATTATGGTGTGTCCGGTGCGACGCCTGGAGCGCGCCCGAAGTACTTTCTGAACGGCACAGAGTGCGCGCACTCGGTGTGCCTCTAGCATTTATGAACGGCTAGTGCGTCGCACCGGTGTCACACTCACACTGAGTGTGTCATTCCTGGGGCGAGTTCAGGAATGACACACCCAGTGTGAGTGTGACACCGGTGCGACGCCCTAGCTGTTCAAAAATGCTAGACGGTGCTATGGGCCCAATGGCCAATTGTCAATCCAGGCACACCCATAAAATCACACTCGCACCCTGTGCGTTGTTTCTGAACTCGGCCGTGAACTCGCCCCTGACGCTTTTGAGCACGCAATCGAGCTTTTGCGAGCGCAAATGCTTCAACCGCGTGTTCGTGTTCCAGCCGTACTGCGCTTCGAAAGCTACTAGCTTTGCGTTTCAAACACAGAACACTGTGCTGCACCGTGCTTGAAGCACAAACACAATGCCAGCTGGAAAGCGGCTTATGTTAGCAACACAAGCCTTTCTTTTCTCTTTTCTACGTAAAAATGAGAGGATTGACAATTTTACATTTCTTCTGTTCTGAGCGAAGCCATAATCACGTGACGAGCGAGCAAACAGAGCAGTTGAACGATGTATCAGAGTGCCCGAAATTTTAATAGACGAACGCGAATGAGCCTGCACCGATTACACTTTTTAATTAAACGAACGGTAAATTTAAGCTCGGAGAACTCATACCGAACGTAAGGATTGTATTGCCAACATGTCATTTTGACTTTTATTTTTATATAAAATACCAATGAACTATAGACAAAAACTGGAATGCGCACACATTAGTTGTATTCCTTTCAAGAGTTTGAAACACTCGAGTTACTCGCTCCGGTGTTTAGTAGCCCCCGATTTGCAGGGAACAGATGGGTGATGCAACAAAAACTTTTCGAAAGGAATAAGGGCGTGAAGCCCCGGAGCTCTCCTAGGTGTGAAAGGAATACAACTATTGCCATATCTGCCAAAAAAATTTAGCCATGAAAGACATCAGATGCCACAAAGGGGAATGTTGTTTTTTTCTGTTGCTCGCTGACATATGACGTTTTGGAAAGTTTTGTCCAATGAACTATAGCCAAAAACTGGAATGCGCGCACATTGCCATATCTGCCCAAAAAATTAAGCCATGAAAGACAGATGCCACAAGGGGGAATGTTGTTTTTCTGTTGCTCGCTGACATATGACGTTTTCGAAAGTTTTTTTTCATATTTTACTTCACAGGTTTCATCAATTGGAATACGTGTTGGAAGCAATTTTCGCCATTTAACATAATGAGTGCGACAAAAACAGGTATCCCCTCCGCAACAGCTGCACTAGGCTTCACGTTCTTCCTTATGTGTTAGCATTCCAGTTTTTGGTTATAGTTCATTGTAAAAAACAGATTTTAGGTGATAGGTACCTATTAAAATTAAATCTTTATTTGAAAATTTCACCAAACTTCTAATTTTTGGTATCATCTCGCAAAGATTTTCTTTCCATACGTGTTGATAGATTTTGTTTTTAAATTCCTGAAATTCCTTCTAATTCTTGTTCTTAGCTTGCAGAAATATTTTAACTTAATTAAATGGTAAATCTTGTTTCGTTTTGAATATATTAGTACCATTCCTTGCCTTTTTTTGGAACAAATCACCTTGGTAGAATTCTAAATAAAAGTTCTAAAACAACCCGGTCGGGGACTGTAACTGACGTCACGTGCGATTGATATTTTAGCGAACGTATTAGTCTGTCACTCAATTTTCAATCGACGTCCGCCAGGAAAGCAAGAATCGACACAAAATAGTGACGTCATGTTATGGTTTTTGACTTCATAAGGCGCGTTCGTTTATTCCCTCGAAGTGCGGAGCGTGTGGAGCTTGAGCTACCTTGGACAGAGGTCAGCTGATCATCGAGCAAACCGAGCTTGAAAATCTTGAAATAAAAAACGAACGGGTTTGTGCATCACGAACCATACAACCTGCGCTCTGTGCGCACCATACGCTCGAAATTGTGAATGACGTTCGTTTATTCTCTTTCGAGTGTGTCGAGAAAAACTTTTCGCGTTCGTAAATACTTCGAGAGAGTGTATCGAGCTCGCTCGATTCGCTCCGAAATTTTTGATGGTGTGTAGTGTGCAGCGAGCGCCAATTTAAAAAAATTCTAAACCTACTTAAGCTAGTAAAAGTAAAATTGATTTCCTTCGTGCGTGCGGAAAACGCGTTTTCACGCACCGATTTGCGTGAAAGTACCACTTTTCCGCACAGCGTGCATGAGAATAAATTTACCGCACGAAAACTTTTTCACGCACGCTGTGAGCAAAAAAAGTTTTTCACCCACTGTTTTTTTTTCTCAATTTTTCTCTCCGTCATGTTTCAATTTCTCAAAAATTCTAGATTTTTTCGAAAATCCTCCATCTTTTTTTCCCTTAAGAAAGCTATATTAACTTTTTATACTGACCAATATCGACATCTTTAACGAGTTTTATACCATAAATAATTAATTCTACTCATAGGTAATAAAAATAATTGTTAATATTCTGTTATTATAAACTTATTGCTTAAACTTAATTAAAAATCACATTTTTGACCATTTCCTTTATCAGTAGAGCAAAAAACAAACAATTTCCGCACGCTCGTAGGAAAAATGTTGTACCTATCATGAGCGTAAAGTATTTTCCGCACTTACGGACGGTTTGCACGAACTCCGCTGGTGCGTCCCGTTGCGTGTGGAAAAGTATAACTACCCACTTATCCACACTTGTTAGGTGAATAACTATTTTGTTTTTGTTAGTTTAAAGTTGTTTAGTTTTTGTGAGTGTATGACGCAACGCAACCGAATTTTCGTGACGAATGTGGTTCATTAGTTTAAACTTTGGATTACAAGATCCACCAGAGATCTGGGTTTTGTGGCAGGATTAACTTGTTAGATCATAAAAAATTCCAAGGATGATGGCAATATTACTGAACTAACTGAACTACTACTTAATGATAATGGTTTTGTAGCAGGATTAACTTGTTAGATCAAAAAAAATTCCAAGGGTAATGGCAATATTATTGAACCATTACTTAAATTGCCTAACATGTACATTCTTGAGAAGTCTAGCCTTGAATTTTGTGAAATAAGTAACCTTGCCCCAATCTGTAAAATCAGATCTTCTCCTATGTAACGGTTCTGAAAACTTTTGGTTCAATTTTTATGACATGAAAAACGCTGCAAATGATCGGTGTTATTCGTTTCTTTATTTTCAATGTAATGAACTGAACTAATGAATTTGCCACAAAGCAGCGCTTGTGCTGAGAGGATATTCTCAAGCCTACTTAAATATTATAAAAACCAAAAATAGAAATAGGATATAATTCTTATACCCTCAACAACAAATTCTTAATAATTGTTAGGTAAAGACTATAGTATAGAGGTACCAACGTCACCAAAAGTAACGACAGCATCATATTAGCTCTCGTATTATTATATGATTTTTAGGGTCAAATATTCGTCAAACTATGCTGTTTTCAGACCCCACTTTTTCTGTTTTTTTTTCTTGTGGGCCCCACAATTCATTTCTTTAATCTTCAGCAAAAAAAAACAGTTTGTTTTTTTTGGCAGATTTATTTACAAATAAATGATGTTAGAGGTTATGAAATACGGAGCGAAATGAGCGAGCTCGATACGCTCTCTCGACGTATTTACGAACGCGAAAATTTTGCTCGAAACGCTCGAAATAGAATAATCGAACGGAATTTAGCAATTTCGAGCGCACGGTGCGCACAGATCGAATAGACGAACGCGCCTATAATGCACAGTCCTCGCTTGGACAGCTTGGACGGGCTGTCATGTCAAAACATCTGGTTTTGACATTCATCATTCATAAGCAAATTAATTTGAAAAATAAAAACAACAAAGCAAAATTCAAAAAGTGGTAGTTCGTGCAAATTAATAAAGTAGCTAATAAGTAGGTAGGTATGAAATATAAATAAGGGATTTAAATAACTCGGCCAAAACATGACTCAAACTAATGAGGGCTACCTACATAAGTGTGCGGTGTGCCTCTAATTTCGGACACAAACTCTGCTCTATGTAGTCTAGAAGTCTTATAACTCCGATAGTAGGTATATTTAATCTTCCTAGGCAGTTATAGGATGGAGGGCCTACTTGAAAAAAGTAGATCATAATATTCTTTCCATGCAACAATGCCAAACAAAATTTCAATGAGATAAACACATTGGACTTATCATTAGTTGATTAGGAGGACATATCTTATCATAAACAAGTTTTATCAATGAGATACATACATATTATACTATAAGTTATAGCTCCAATTAAAATAAGTACTTGCTTGTTTAAAACTTTAAATAAAAACAGAGTTAAATTTATCAGTCACTTCCTATTGATGTCCATGTTTCACTGGTAGGTAACTACCCACTAGCACAATGCATGCAGTCTCTAGGAATTGAAAGTTATCTACTTTTACTTAGTCCTTTTATTTGGCTTGAAGAATTGAAGATTCATTAGGTATTATAAACTAGGTAACTACCGAGGTAACTACCGAGGTAACTACCGATGTTACTACTAACTGCCACTCGAATTAACATCATCTAGAAGTTTCACAGGTGAAACTAGTCTCTGCTGGCTAATAACATGAAGGAACATACTATAGGTCTGTTTCTGCAGAAATCACAAACCAGTCAGAGTGAATTTCATTGGTTGAAACTAGTTTTCTGACTGTTTTCAACCAATGAAATTCGCTCTGACTGGTTTGTGATTTCTGCAGAAACAGACCTATCAATTTCAAACTTAAATACTAAATTTGGATGAATGAGAACAATTTTTGATGCTCCTACAACTTTTTCAACTATACCTACCTAGCCTGAGGTGTTTAGTCATTTTTTTCCTGATTACTAATTACTAATATTGAGACATATTTTTCAATAAATAGCTCGATAAATAGTTAGCCTTTTTTTTATGAAAGACCGTTAGGCTACTTATATTATTATAAATTCTAGTGATTGATGGTAATTACAAAAGTCTAATTCTAAGTATTGAGGTAGGTATGCTAAAAAATATGGAATAAAAACGTTAGTAGGTGTCTGAAGTTAGCTTGATTAAGTACTCGATTAACTAGCTCCACAAAATCGAATGTGTATGTTTGCTATATTTCTTCCATTATTTCATGCCAAGTATCACAGACACTCTACACAATTTGGTTTTAGGTATTCTGTCTGACTCTACCACAATCAATGATCATGGTATCTATCTGAGTAGGTATCTATGTCTCATATATTCCACAAGTTTTTCATCCCAACAATTCCTTATTGATTTGAAGGCAAACTGTGACTGTGGTTATATCAGTTAATTTATATTGTTTCCTAACACCTAACACCACTTGAATAGTTCAGACAATATAAAGTCTGCTCGCACAGAAATCACAAACCCATCATAGTGAATTTAATTGTTTGAAACTAGTTTTCTAACTGTTTTTGATTGTTTTCAGCCAATGAAATTTGCTTTGACTGGTTTATTATTTCTATTCGAACAAGCCTATAGTGCCTTCTGATTCATGAAAAAACATTGGCACGGTGCCTCATTCTGAATCATGTTCTAAAGTCAAAATATAAACAAAATTATATCAAAAATGCTGCTATTTTTACCCTCACCTAACTTTTTCAGTATGGTACGCATCTGATTAAAATTTTGAAATTCTGAGTTTAGATTCTGATTCAGCGTCGGAAGTTTGTATGGCATATCAAATTTCATAATTTTAGTTTGAACGGTTTAGCAAATAGAGGAAAATCCGTCTTTAAGGTGCCCCATTTAAAGGAGCGTACCCTCGGGCGTACCACCCTTAGGATGCATTTTTCGAAAAAAAAATTATATGTATACATTTCTCAGGAATCATCCCTTGAATTTTAGTCGCTTGTTTAGAAAACACCCTGTACTTAACTACCTTTAAGTTTTTCATTTGCACATACTTACTTGAATAACTTCTGTAATTGTGGAATTGAAACAACTTCACTCCCTTGATTATACAGGGTGTTCCTAAATATCATGTACAGGGTGGCCCAAATTCGAGCCTCATCATTGGGATCTCGGAAACCGTAAGAGATACAGGGTCGGTTACACTATGGCAAAGTTGCGCATTTTGATGCTCAACAAAATGTCGCTTTGATATTCAGGATATTCCGAATACTTCCGGAGATATCCAGAAAAATTTCGAAATTTTGCAAAATTGTTTTTATTTTTTCCTGACTTTATTTGAAGTAATATTTCGAAAAAAATATCACTTCATCATAGCCACTTTTTCTTCCCTACACGATGCTACCATCAAATTTAAAATCTGACGTTTCGTCTTTTGGCCAACTTATTTTTTTTTAAATACAGCCCTGGATTTTTTATTTCAGATTTTGAGAGCTTCTGATGTTCCAAAAACTATGATGTATCGCATTTATTCGAAAATAGTTATTTATGCAACAAGTGTGTAAAGTGAACCTGGTGTTTTATGCACGTATTGCATACAAAATGTTTTCTACTACCAATCAAATATGTGTAAAAAAATAAATTAAGTCAAATACTTTACGCACTAGTGCGTAAAGAATTTTCATTTTACAAACTAGTGTGTGGAGTCATTTACCAAAAAAATGCCAAATTGACAGTGTCGACATCTGTCATTGACATTACTTTAAGCACTAGTGTGAGAAGTGAATTACTTTACGCACTAGTGCTTTTTTTACTTCTTAGTAATTTCCTACCAAAAATTTTTTTCTCTGTCTCTCTCTAACACATTTAATTTTTATGGAAAGTGCCTATAATATAAATTTTTCGAATAAATGCGATACGTCATAGGTTTTGGGATATCAGAAGCTCTTGAAATCTGAAATAAAAAATGAGGGTCCGTATTTAGAAAAGTAAAGTTGATGATGGTGGCCCAAAGACGAAACGTCATATTTTAAATTTGATGATAGCATCTTGTAGGGGAGAAAAAGTGGCTAAGATGAAGTAATATTTTTTTTGAAGTATCACTTCAAATAAAGTCAGGAAAAAATAAAAACCATTTTGCAAAATTTCGGTTTTTTCTGGATATCTCCGGAAGTATTCGGAATATCCTAAATATCAAAGCGGCATTTTGTTGAGCATCAAAATGCGCAACTTTGCCATAACTTAACCGACCCTGTATCTCTTATGGTTTCCGAGATCCCAATGATGAGGCTCGAATTTGGGCCACCCTGTACAAACGGAACGGGGTGATTCTTTGGGTTATTTTATGACTAAAATTTCTAATAAACATAGGTCCACAAACGCTTCGTTACCGATCTACAGGGTGTTGAAATTTTAATGCATTCATATTGAAAGTGAGCAAGAATATGGCGGCGAGGAGTGTCTTATTACTTCTAGATTCCTACTAAAAATCAGCAAGAATATGGCTGCGGAACCTCTATTGTCATCACTGTAGGTAGAAAAGGTTTATTGAGTTACTTTAGTTTCATCTAGCTAATTACAGAGATTTGTTTTTTAATTTTTTTCTCGATAAGGGTCGGTGATACGAAAAAACTACAAGAGAACAAAAAGTTTCTAAATAAGATAGAAACATCATTTTGTTTTTTAGAATCGACTAGCGGCGCACCGCGAAAAAGTTCAGGGGCAGAAGAGGAGGCATGACCCCTGTAAAAACATCACCCTGTAGATTCTGGCAAACGTTTGACATGTGCAATCATCTATCTCCTATTGCGTAAACTATATTCTAAATTTGAGGTTAATCCCTCAGAAATTGCAGAAGCTATAAATAAAAAACTAAAAAAATATTGAAATTTCAACACCCTGTAGATCGGTAACGAAGCGTTCGCGGACCTATGTTCATTAGAAATTTTAGTCATAAAATAAACCAAAGAATCACCCCCTTTCGTTTGTACATGATATTTAGGAACACCCTGTATATGAAGGACTCATGTTGTTCTATTTTTTTCAGAAAAACTACCGATTCTTGAAAAACTACGGATTGAGCCGCGGATATACATGCCAAGTCTGGTGTCAGTGTGTTGATATTACAACACGAGTTACAACAGTAGGCATGATAAAGGCAATTTTAGTATTCAACAATCATGGAAAACCAAGATTATCGAAATTCTATCAATATTTTGTAAGTACCTACACCTATATTTGAATTGCCTAGTCAAAACAGGATTTAGTGAATTTGTCCATTTTAGCCCGAAGATATGCAGCAACAAATAATCAAGGAAACATTTCAGTTGGTATCAAAACGAGATGATAATGTTTGCAATTTTCTAGAAGGCGGAAGGTATGGATTCTTTGTGTTGATATTCATAATTGCTGAAAGAAAAAAAAAACTCGTGGATTTTCTAATAAGAAACACTTCTATTTAGAACATCAAAATTTTTATTGCAATAAATGAAATATGTAATGTATTTTAGCTTAATAGGTGGCAGCGACTACAAACTTATCTACAGACACTATGCTACTCTCTACTTCGTCTTTTGTGTGGACTCGTCCGAGAGTGAACTGGGAATACTGGATCTAATACAAGTATTTGTCGAAACGCTGGACAAATGTTTCGAGAACGTATGTGAATTAGATTTGATTTTCCACGTTGACAAAGTCCATTTTATCTTGAACGAGTTGGTTATGGGTGGTATGGTGCTAGAAACGAATATGAATGAGATATTGACTAGGATAGAGGACCAAAACAAATTGGAAAAGCAAGAGGTAATTTTTATAATAATTATTTTAGCTTTGATTATCTGTCGTGTTTTTATTTAAAAAAAGAGGTTACATTTATAATATTAGTCATAAAACACGTAATTTTTTGGCTTTATAGATTTGGCAAAGCAATTTTCAAATTAGTCGAAGCCTAGGTTTTGTGTATGCTGAACATTTTCTTTAGTAAGTTTTAGTACCCTTTTTTGCTGCTTCTGTTATCTTGTTCGTCCTCTTATAGTTTACAATAATTAAATTTTGTTTTACTGCTTCTTAGTGCTTCTGAATCTATGTCGGTTAGGTATGGGTACAATCTCATGAATTTTGTTTAGAAAATGTTAACCCAACTAAGTTTATCCTATTTGTTTATCATCATCATTGTCTTATATTACAGTTGGACAAGTTGTTGCTGTAAATGCCGTGACTTTGATACTTATTAATAAATACTAGGTTTGGTAAGTGTGTTCGATACGTAACTAGCCAGAACCCACTAGAATTTTGGCTAAAGCTAAAACCGAGGCTAAAAACTTTTTTTTTTCTTGTTTATCAATATTACCGCCTTCAACTGATTTTTTTGCTGGAAACTGAGGTTCAGTGCTCTCTTCCTGCTCTCATAGTTTTTCAACAAAACTTATTTATATAATTACCTATAATAAGATTTATCAAAACTCGATTAGAGAACGATTTCATCCCAATTATATCCTATTCACAATCCGATGTCCACAGGTACAGGTAAATTTATCACCTTTCCCTATCAAATAGCATTGAAAGGTGATTTTACCTGTACCTACCTATGGACATCGGATTGTGAACGGATAATACCTTTTTTATATGCAATAATAAAAAAAGGATGTGGTCAGCAATACTTTTTGCTCATAATTTAAGAAAGGATGAGAATGTACAAAAACGGATTTCTCCCACGTTGGACTTATTAAAATAACATAACGTTGGATTTACATTTAAAAATATTAATTTTTAGGCTGGAATATCTGCAGCTCCTGCCAGAGCGGTGTCCGCTGTCAAGAACATGAACATTCCCCAACAGATAAAAGACATCAAACTCCCCGATCTGCCTCAGGCCATAAAGGACCTCAAATTCTGACCACAATTAGGGAACCAGTTTCAGAACATCGATGTATCATCCTCAGATCGTTATTCACCAGATGCTAGGTTCCTTCTAGAAGATCCATCCTCATCACGGTATAATACATAACATGCGTCTTACACAATTTAAATTTGTTATTTAATTAGAGTTTATGTCTAGTTCTAGGTAAGTAAAATAAATGTTTTTTTTTAAAGAAATTGTTTTTTCAATAATTATTATAGACCAAATAATCTCTTCTTATTTCTTTTCCTTAACACAGTTTGGATGTTATTGTGACAATCCCAATTTTAATTTGTGGAAGTAGTCTATGGCTCATATGAATAAAACAAAAGCAAATGCTTTTACTTAAGTTTTTTGAGATAAACATATTCAGCTTTAATGCAGCAAGAAGAAACGTAGGTAGCGTAACAGCAGTTGCTACACTTTATTCATACGACTGATTATTTCTCCAATGGAATGTTCATGAGAAAATACCAAATGTTCCTCTACTAATAGAATTCTTCAATAGATAAATATATCATAAGGCTCAAGCTCAAATTATCGAACTCCCATTTCCTAGGCATATTATGGAGAAGAGGAAACATCCCAAAAGTTTATCTTTAGTGAAGTTGCAGAGAGGGTTATTGAAACTTTTCTATATTTGAATCTGTATCAAATCAACAATGTACCAAATTACAGGGGTGTTTATTTGGGCCTAATTTTCTGTGATTACTTGAGTCCTCGCTTTAGTCATAAGACTGTCTGCGCTAGTGATAGTTTGGTAAACTGTGATAGGCATCATCCAGCCCTAGTTATAACTGCTGACTGTGATAATATACCAAATCTTGTTGAGTATGATGATGACATTTTTGATTTTAAGCGTTCTAATTTTTGTGATAATTGTTTTTAGCTAATGTTAATTGGGATCATTTCTTTGAAAGCGGTGATTTAGAGGATAATGTTTTATTATTTTATGAGATTTTTTGTAATGTGTTCTCTCACTTAGCTCCTAGAAACGATTAAAAGTGAATATAAATTTCCACCATGGTTTAGCACTGAGCTGAAAACCAATGTTTCTAACAAAAAATATATCAGACTGGAGATGCTGACGAATATTATGCTTTTTGTAGTCTTAGGAATTTGTGTAAAAAAAAGGCAAAGTCCTGTTATAACGTTTACATGAGTGAAACTGATAATAAAATAACCACAGACCCACAATCATTCTGGAAGTATGTACGTATGTATCGAGCCAGATACATTCCTGTCTGTCTTAATTATAACGGTCAAGTAAGTGAGAATGTGAAAGGCGCTGTCGGTTTGTTATCTCACTTTTTCTCATCGGTTTATGGAAAGCCAAAAATAAATAAAAACGGAGAGCTTGTAAATGTTACATCATGCTCAAGCAATGTTAATATGTATAAATAAATTTTGAAGAACAGGATGTTCACCGTTGAAACGAAATAAAACAACAGTAGTGTATTTCGGTGTAAATTTAATAAAATTGGCTGAGCGCTTTCGGTCTTATTAGACCTCCTTCAGAGCCGCCCTATAACAAGCAAAGTATACATGCTTAAAAGGTCTTTATAATAAAATTGGTTTTTAATTACTTACTCGTCATAGAAATCGTGACTCAACATAGGACATTAAAAAACAAAACACCAAATAATAATACATGACATGTATGTTGAGTCACGATTTCTATGACGAGTAAGTACTTAAAAACCAATTTTATTATAAAGACCTTTTAAACATGTATACTTTGCTTGTTATAGAGCGGCTCTGAAGATGGTCTAATAAGACCGAAAGCGCTCAGCCAATTCTATTAAATTTACACTGAAATACACAACTGTTGTTTTATTTTATTTAATATAAATAGTCTGAATATTAAGATAAGTACAGTAACAAATATAGATATAAAAAAGGTCCTGATGGTTTTGCCCCCGTATTTATAAAAAAACTGTGCTTTTGCATTATCGAGGCCTCTTTGGCTAATATACAATAAATCTGTCATTGGGTATATTTCCCAATGAACCCAATGTATAGAAAATGTCATTTGTTTGTCCAATTTATAAAAACAATGGCTCAAGAAATGAGGTCACTAACTATCGGCCAATAACTATATTGTCACATTTACCCAAAATTTTTGAATGTATTATTAATTAATTTCTTTCTGTGTGTTTCCAAAATATTATCTCTATCAAACAGCATGGCTTTTCAAAGGGCAGATCAATAACAACAAATTTACTATTATACGAACAAGTAATTGTAAAAGCGCTTGAGAATGGATTTGCAGTTGACTCGATTTTTTCAGATTTTGAAAAGGCTTTTGACACACTTGATTTTGGTATTTTGTTGCAGAAGCTTTCCGGTTATGGTGTGAATTTGGAATGAAAAGGAGGTCATCTAGCCCCATTACTTTTTAACATTTTCGTAAATGTAAACGATATCATTGACTGTTTCCATCATAGTAATGGTTTATTTTATGCAGATGATTTAAAGTTATTTAAGGTGATTCACTCACCAGATGCATCAGTACTCCTGCAGGAAGACCTTCAACGTTTTTAGAAATGGTGCGAAAATAATAATAGGTCTGTTTCTGCAGAAATCACAAACCAGTCAGAGCGAATTTCATTGGTTGAAAACAGTCAGAAAACTAGTTTCAACCAATGAAATTCACTCTAACTGGTTTGTGATTTCTGCAAAAGCAGACCTAATATACACCTCAACATAGGTAAATGTAAATTTATATATTTTAGCAGATAATCAAGTTCAAAACTTAATTCGTATTATATGTATATGTTACAGTTAATATGCAAACTTGGCTAATATTTGAGTATTTTCGATTTATTAGCTTTGTTGTAACTTGTCTTCCGCAGTGGCGTAGCCAGACGTCGGCGATGTCGGCGACTGCCGACGGCCTCGCGCAAGGAGCCTCGCAAAAAATAGGTTATTACCGAACCAAAAAATTGGCACTTTTCGATTTCCCAAAATAAAACGTAGCTTAATCCTATGTTTATGTGAAGGGTGCTTTTTATAAAGGGTGTCTGAGAATATGTGAACAATCTCTCGGATTTAGATAGAATACAAAAAAATAACATGACAGCTTCCTACAAAAAAAAAATCCTACGCCCCCTCCCCCTACGAATTTACGTGCCCCTAAAGGACGCCTCTGAAAATCGTTTATTTGTTGAATAACTTTCAAAATACTTCATGTTATTTTTTTTTTGCCGAATATGATGGATACTAGATGAGACCCCTCATATTGGACCCTTTTTTTTATTGGCTTCGATTGAAGCCAATCATATTCTCCACAAATTTCTTGTGAATGATTTCAATATAACTTCAATAGTTTTGCAGCTGCAAAGCTTCAAATTCTTTTGACTATGATTTTTATCAGGAAAATGACACTATAACATACATTTTGCTTCACAACTTTGTTAACTTCAATTCGATCTTAACGTAATTAGGCTTCAATTGAAGCCAATTAAATTCTCTACAAATCTTCTCTGAATGATTCCAATCGAGCTTCAATAGTTTCGCAGCTGCAAAGCTTCAAAGTCTTTTGACTATGATTTTTATCAGGAAAATGACACTAGCATACATTTTGCCTCACAACTTTGTTAGTTTCAATTCGATTTCAAAGTAATTAGTCTTCAATTGAGGCCAATCAAATTCTTTACAGATGAATAATTTCAATCAGTGGCGTAACCAAACCAAACGTAGACGTTGGCGACATCCGCGTTGCGAGGCCCTTTTTGTAGGGGGGCCATATTTCTTGGAAGAAAAAGCTGCATATAGCCAATCAACGATATCTACAAAAGCCCAAATTAATTACCGCTTTTTCATGAATAAATATTCTTTGTGTATTTCCAATAAATTTTAATATTCCCCAAGAAGTTTGGGTGGTCAGGGCCATACTAAGCAGTACCAGTACCAGTACTATTGTCAACTAGCTGCTTAGGAAAGGAGGACCCGGTATTCAACCTTATTAATTTAATTGCCGATTCGATCGATCGAATTAATATAAATTGCGCTGCAAGCCGCAGCAAAGGCAGACTTAAACCAGTGCAAGTACCTCTCGTTAGAAAAGCCCCTCTGGAATTAAGTCTCCCCAGTACAAGTACCTCTCGTTGGGAACGCCCCTCTGGGTATCTTCAGCCTTATCGTTGTCCAGTGCAATTACCTCTCGTTGGGAACGCCCCTCTGGACAAGGCATAAGGGTGACGATAAACTAACCTACAGTCCCCCAAGCAGCATTGACGTGTGGCCCCCTATAAGGACCCCAGTGTACGAAGGGTCATGTATCTTATAGGGTTAGCGTACATGTAAGGTTATATTTGGGAAAATATATATCTATATTTTTATATAACCTGAGCGAGTTTCTCTCCATCAACCCCCAAAGCTACAAACCCCCCATGTCACCCCCGTAAAGCGGGTAGTTGTGACACTATTGTGCTATTATTATTATAATGTTTGCAATTTTGATTGGAATCTTTAAGCCTGTTCTCACAAAAATCACAATCAAGGGTGTTATTTTGATTGGTGCAAATCAGTTTCCTGATTGTTTTCAAACAATGGAAGGTTTGTGATTTTTGTAAGAACAGACTTTTTGGGCTTTTGTGACTGATTTCCAGTAAAAAAGAGGTTTGTACCAGTAATATTTTGAGACATGAAAGGGTTTTTTCGTTGTTTTATAAGGTCCTAAAGCTAGATCTATCACACAAAGTCTTAATAAAGACGTCTTTTCAGGTCTGTATTAGGGACATTTGAACGTCTGAAGACGAAAAAAAGATGTCCATAGGATCGTTCCTATGGGGATTGTAAATTTGTGTCAAAAATCTTTCAAGTCTAAGATTTAAACTCTTTGGAATCTTTAAATCTTTGAATCATCAAGTCTTTCAAGTTTTCCCTAAATTCTTTAAAGACTTTAAAGATTTGAGAATCTTCAAAGTTCCAGTTTTCAGCCTCTTTAAAATCTACAGTCTTGTAATTTTTATCTGTTCCTGGTAGGATGTCGTTTAAACTGTGTTTCTAATCAACATTTATTTATAATTTTACGTTTTGTTTTATGTTTTAAGCAAGAGAATTTACACAATAATTAATGGGTTTTCAAATTTATAGGTAATTTCCTAATATTATGTGTGAATGTTTTTTGAGAGAAATAGAATGAAAACATTTGAGGAAAATTGACCGAAAAATTATTGTTTTTCTATTTCAGGCTTTTGAGTTTTTTCTAGGGCTTCAAAATAATATTTAACTGGAATCGTCAGGGGTTTACACCGAGTTTGAAGTTTTAGACAAAATGTCGACTAAATTTCAACTTTTAAGCTCGATATTTTGGAAACTCTAAAAGTTATGGAAATCAGTACAGTCTTATAGAGATTAAATTCTCTATTTTAAAGGGGGTGTGCGCCAAAAATTAAAGTTTTAGTGTAAAAAAATCTAAGAATAACTGTTCAAACCTCGTTATTCTACGATAAACCATCGCTGAGATATACCGCTTTAAAGTGTGGACGACGCTCTCTTGACGTCACGAAAACTTCGTCCAGCCGCGCTCTGCATTGTTAATTTGATTGTTTCCGGCACGCGTGAGTGATTTTTGTTTAGATTATTGCAGGTAACACAGGAAAAACATATGTAAATTTAATTAACTCCACTTTCTCGTGCGTCGCTTGAGCTTTCGTGACGTCATAGGGTGAGATGCGGTACCTTCATAGAGCCATATCTGCGGTATTATTTGTCATAGAGAAGTGCGGATTTCACTGTTATTCTTAGATTTTTTTTCTCTTTTTTTTGAGATGAAGTTGTTTTTTTGGCGCACACCCCCTTTAATGATATATGGTTGTTATTAATTTGCTGAAAAATAATCGAAGATATAAGCAATTATTCATGAGCTTGTCGAAATTTTTAGAACCAAAAATGATTTATTTTTTCATTGAAATTTCCAAATGTAATTGATGTTAGAGTTGTTTCTGACTAATTTGGACCCGCTCTATTGGTTTCTAAAGTCAAAAATGAGAAAAATCCAAAAATAAAAAATTTCAATTTTTTGCATTTTTTCCTAAGGGTCTTTGGATTTTTATTTGCAAATCTTCAAACCTGAATATCTTGGTAACCAGAAGCGGTACAAAAATTTTAGGAATTGTAGCCCTTGATAAGAACTTCAAGATGGTATTTAGTTGAAATCGCTAGCATTTAGAACTTTTGGGAAAATCAAGTTTGAAGTTTTGGACAAAATCTTGAAGCTCAATATCTTGAAAAGATTCACAAGCTACAAAAATCAATCTTGCACAGGCTTATAGAGAATTTAATACTATTTCCAATGACATAGGACATAGGTAGTTATTACTAATTTGCTCAAGAATAATCGAAGATATAAACAATTATTAATGAGCGTGTCAAGATTTGCAATTGAGAAACTTCAGAGTTATTCTAGAACAATATTATAGGATTAAATTTGGAACTGGAAACCTTTCAGAACTTCTTTGAACCAACTTGAAACACTTATTGGAACTTCAATAGGGCTCTAAAATACTTAAAAAGCAGTCAGAATAATTTAGGAAATCACTGAAAAACTTCTAGAATGCTCCAGAACTCTTCAAGCCAAGATGTTAGAACACTTTAAAACTTCAATAAGCCATTTAAAACACTTTCCAGCCACATTTTGAACAATTTAAAAACCTCAGCCTGGAATACACAAAAATCAAGTCTGTTCCAAAAACCGTCCCAAAATACGATTTCGGAGCCATTCTGTAGGTTTACAAATTTTTTGGTATTGCGCAAAATCTTGACGGTTCATTGTACAGTTTTTTCTGCTTTGTTGCAACAAAGCTAAAATAAACTTTAAAAAAAAAAATTAACACTAATAAGGCCCTGTAACTAACTATAAACAGGGGATTTACATTTACACTTGCCGTCGGGATACTAATCTATTACGCAGTTAGTTTTTGTGCCCATCTCACTTATTCATTTTTATAACCTTACCTGTTTACCTTTTTTTTTTTTTGAGGGGGCGGGGGGGGGGGGGGGGTTTGTCGGACAAGGGATTTAGATTAGTCAGATTCATTCGAGTACGGATCGCGGGAGATGAAGCACCGCCAGTCGCGACAGGTATTATCGATTTTTTTTCACACAAATTAAAATTTTTCGATTATTGTGTCGTGTGCCCATAGTGTACCGATTGATTTCTGGATTTTGGTAAGTATACCTAGTACCAACAATTATGTTTTGATAATTGGAATTTATTGAATTTTGAATGAACAACCCTTGATTTTTCTAATGTCTAATGTTTTTTTATATAGTGATTTATTTGATTCTCTATAACTGGACAATTAGTAAATTATACAGTGTCCAAAAAAAAATTTGCCAGAAAATCTTCCGAACCTATTTTCATCATTAATTTTTTTTTTAAAAGGCTTTCCAAAAGTGCGTTAATGAAGAAAGTATATATGAGCTTGTGTGAAGGATAAATGATCCAGGGATGTAGACTGTTATGAGATAGAATGCTGGGCTGGGTTCTGGCTATGTAGATACTGTTGGAATAGAATGCTGTATACTGGATTTAGGTATTGTTGTAATAGAATGTTAGAGTGTCTCAAAAAAATATTGATTTTGCCCAGTTTTCAATTGAATGGCTGTTTAAGCCACTTTACTACCACTAGCAATAACATAACTAACCCAACACAACTAACCCATATTAACACCTTGAGGTAATTGCTAATTGGTATAGTCCACTAAACATTTTCAGCTAAAATTATACGAACATCTAGACAATAATACTCTATAGCTGATTGCTATCAATATAGTATATAGCTATCCAGTTATATAGCTATATTTTTCAAAAAGGAATTTTAAAGTTTTCAATTTTTTTGAGATACTCATGAGTCATGGAGATGCACTTTTGGAAAACCAGTCATTAAAATATACATTGCATGTCGCGTCGGGCAAAACTGCCCGACAGTGATGTTTCCATTTAGGCCACGTCGGACATACAGGGTGACAATTTAACACTTAGACAAAAAATACTATATGAAGAAGATCTCATTTATTTATTAAGAAATTGCCATTTTATTACATAAGGATATATTTACTCAAAAAGAGTATTATAATGAAAACTAGCTTTCGTAGTGGATCTTAGCCTTTATTTACATTAATGATTTTTAGTTTTTTGACATGATTACAGTTCACGTAGTTGCCTTTTTGACGGAGCAACTACCATTTATGGTGGAAGGATTTTTTTTTACAGAAAAAACTAATCTTAGATATAGTTACAATGGAGTTATTTACATTATTTACAGTAGGTATCGAAATAGGCCTAAAGCCTTTACGATTTAGTTGTCGCCCCCAGGAAAAGTTTACATGAAATTCTTGATATCTGGGCAACACTGAATAAAATTGACCAATCAGAAATTTGGTGCCGTGACGTCACGGCACCAAGAAATTTGAACTTCAAATCGAAATTTAAAGCCTTTGCAAGTCCCAAAAAAATCTGAAAAAAATACAGTTGAGCTTTATTTTGACTCCTCTTTCCAATAAGCAAATAAAAAAAAATGCATGCAAGAGGTCCATTGCATATGATATATTCGCAATTACACTTAACTTTTCTCAATTACATTCGACATAATCGCAATTACAATCAACTTTTCCCAATACCATTGGATATAGTCGCAATATCACTTGACTATTCGCAAAATCAATTGATGAATTCGCAATATAAATTGCTATATTCGCATTTACACATGCAAAAGGTGTAGTGTTCCGCACTATTCTGCAATCGGATTTTACTTTGCAGTCCTCAAATTATGTGTCACTTCTGACACCAATTTCCACTACGTGACAGAAATCTTGGGTTCGTTTTTCGTTTATTCCAAAATCAAAGTCCAATTAACAGAGCAATAATTTATTCCACGTAACTATACTCTGACGCTAATTAACTCAACGACTAACTTTTCACAACTCTCAACAATAATCACTTCTGCCGGCCTTTATATAGTCGTAATTTATTCATGCAAATTCCGGAAGAAACGCGATCAACTTTGTTCCCGTAAAATCTCGAATCAGCTGCCGAATTCTGTACAGTTTTATTGGAGATGTCCAATTAGCCCTGTTCATGTCCAATTAGCCCCATAGGGGTATAATACTAATTTATTTACATAGTTTTATTTACCAGGTTTGTTTTAGAGATGCCTCGCAACAAAAAGAGGAAAACTGACAGAGTTCGGGTGTCCGAGGAAACATTAAAAAACGACGTTGCAGCTGTTGTTTTGGATCATATGCCTATATGTGAAGTATCGGAAATGTATCCTGTTAAAAAATCTACGTTGTCTAGATTTGTTTAAATGAATAAGCATATCCAAACTGCCGATGAAGACAATATTCCGAATCGAAAAATCCCTAATAAAGTATTTACCAACGAACTAGAAGATGAATTAGAGGAATATTTGGTCGTGGCATCCAAAATGCATTATGGCATAATAACGGTAGAAGCAAGAAAACTTGCCTACCAAAATGCTAATGCTTTATAGGTTTAAATACCTGAAAAATGGCCTACTAGTCAATAGGCTGGCCTTGATTGGCTATTTGGATTTATGGAAAGACATCCTAGATTATCCATAAGGGCTCCAGAACCAACTAGCCTCTCACGCGCTACGAGATTCAATAAAACAAATGTGGGCAAATTTTATGAAAATCTGGGTGCTGTTTTGGAAAGGTACCAGTTTTCACCAAACAAGATATATAATCTTGATGAAACTGGTTGCATCACTGTGCAAATAAAGCCTCCAAATGTTATAGCAAAGGAAGGAAGCAAGCAGGTCGGCCAGAAAACATCTGCTGAACGGGGCACGTTAGTTACAGTGTGTTGTTTTATAAATGCGAGCGGAGGAACCATCCCACTAGTTTTTGTGTTCCCGAAAGCTAATACAAAACTTTATATGACTGAAGGTGCTCCTGTTGGAAGTTTAGCATTAGGTAGCTTATAAGAAGGGCTGGATAACACAGAAAATTTCCGTAAACCAATGGATCATTTTGTTCATTTCACTCAGGCTACCAAGGAAAATCCTGTTTTGCTATTACTCGATAATCACGAAAGCCATATTTCCATAGAAACAATTCAATACGCAAAAGGCAAATGAGTTGTTATGGTAATATTTCCACCCCACTGTTATCACAGGCTCCAACCACTTGATGTAGGAGTTTATAGGCCATTTAAAAAGCGTTATAATGTGGCTTTAAATGATTTGATGCTTTCTAGTCCCGGTAAACCCGTTGGCGTGTATCCTGTCCCTAAACTTGTGAATAAAGCATTTGTGGAATCATTTACCCCAAAAAACATATTATCCGCATTTTACAAAACAGGCAATTTCCATTTAATAGAGAGAATTTTGACGAAGATGATTTTCTTTCATCACATGTGTCCGACCGCTCACTACAAACAGTAGCCGCTAATAGTGCCAATTTATCTCCAAATAAATGAGCAGAATTACATTCTACTACTACCGTATTTCAGAAAGAAAAGGATGTCATAAGTCCATCCTTCATAAGGCCATTTCCGAAAGCTCCTCCGCGGAGTACGTCTAGCCGAGGTAGAAAGCCTGGTAGGACGAGGATTCTAACAGATACCCCCGAGAAAGAGGAACTAGAAAGATTGGCAAATGAAAGGAATAAGAAGGCAGGTAGTGTTAAAAAAATGTGTTTAGCGAATTTGAAACTTTCAATGAGAAATCCGATGGAAAAGAAAACAGTAACAAAAAAAAAAATGTGAAGATGAGGAATCAGAATCCAGTGAAGAAGTGTCGCTGCATGACTCATCGTCTGAAACCGAATTCAATGAGATAAAATTGAAACTGAAACTTAATGATTTTGTTTTGGTGAAGTTTTTAACGAAAAAACAATGTCGTTATTATGTTGGCATTATAAATGAAATTGCCGATGGCCTCATCGAGGCCAAAGTCAATTTTTTGAGAAAAAAACCAGAATTATCGAAGTTCTTTTAGCCAGAAAAAATAGATGAGTCAAGATTTAGAATCGGAGTAGGCAGTCGCTTTTTAAGATCGACAACGAACAGTCGGGTTGTAGCAGTCGCACTGATGTAAAATCAGTTTTTTTCAGAGTTGAAATAAACTAAACCTTCAAGTAATTTCGAGTTTTACTTTTTACCTTATTAAAATACCGGATAATAGGTACAAGGCCTAGACATAATTCGAGATTACTACATTGGAGTCAGCGAAAAACTCCGGGTTTCTCAACATAAGCGGCATTTGTCAACTCCGGTCCCTAACAGTATAAAAGCCTGCGAAGTGCGGACTTTGATATTCCTAAATCTTTAGCAACTAAACTTATGACCTCAAACTTATATAATTATTATAACCAAATCACAGAGGTTCGATTATTTTCTGAACTTTTAAGATTGTTAAAAAAAAAACTAAAATTATTATTGTTTTCGAACAGAAAATTATGCTTACTATATTTTATTTTTTACTACTTTATTAACAAATAATAATTCTTCCATTTGGATTGGATTGGATTGCATTTATTAGTTGTCCTCTGGAATGGGCGCTTCGATTTCCTAAAAATAAAAATTATGTACGTAATATCTTTTATTTTATTGTTTAAAGTATTTTATTCTTTTCATCAACATTTTATTCACAAAAAAGTTTTTCACAATTTTCTTTGTAACTTTTATACAATTTCTAAATATACGGGTAGTCCAACAAGCGCGCCTCGGTCAATAGTAGCCAAACCGTCGAATTCAAATTTAAAATCGTATTTGGGTTGAATGCAGCGTTGCCAAGTTATGATTTTTCGAAGAAAAAAATAGACCAAAACATACTTTTTTAAAATTGTCATATCTCCGCCACTGTACAGATGCTGCAATTTTGAGTGTTTTGACAGGAAAAACATATTTCCAGAACAGATAGAGGAAAATTGACTTAGAGTCATGGGATCGATTTTCGAGAAATATCGATTGTCAAAAACCGTATCACGATATCTTCAATGGTACCATTGATACAGGGCGATTTTCGATTTTTCCCTATTATGAAAAATAGCTATAAGTTTTTTATTTATCAATTTTTTTTATTTCTGTAAAAACATTTTAGAGATACTTTCTTGAGCACAATCCAGTGGCGTACTCAGTTTTTTTTCTATTTCGCTCCGATTTCGAGATATCGACCAAAGTTCGACATTTTCAAATAAAACACCCTATGTATTAATAGCGCTGTTTTTGCCGATTTCAATGATATAAAATTCGAATATCTGTTTTTGTCATAAGGACCAATGTGTTAGAATATGATTTTATATCTGTAAGGAAAATGAGGAAGGTCTCTTTCTAACACATTGTTTCTTATGACTGAAACCTGAAACAGATATAATTTTTTTTCTCGAAAACTGTTAGAGATAAACCCATCGAACTTTATATCATTGAAATCAGCAAAAGCAGAGCTATCCAATGAGCTATCAATATATAGGGTGTCCCATTTTGAAAAAATTGGACTTTAGTCAATATCTCAAAATGGGAGCGAAATAGAAAAAAACCGAGTACGTCACTGGACTGTGCTTAAAAAAGTATTTCGAAGATGTTTCCACAGAAATAAAAAAAATTGATAAACAAAAAACTTATAGCTATTTTTCATAATAGGGAAAAATCGAAAATTGTCCTGTATTAATGGTACCATTGAAGATATCGCGATACGGTTTTTGACAATCGACGTTTCTCGAAAATCAATCCCATGACATCTAAGTCAATTTTTCTGTATCTGGTCTAGAAGTATGTTTTTCCTGTTAAAACCCTCCAAATTGCAACACCTTGTACGTTAATTTCCCTTGAAAATTTACATGTAATCTAATGTTAGCCTAGTTGCTCCTACATTATCTTCATTTTTCGATTCAAGTATACAGGGTGTCCAAAATATTTGTCTAAACACGTCAATTTTAAAGTCCATTTTAATTGAGTTTTTCGAATGCAACACCTTGTATATTATTTTTCTATCGAAAAGCTGAAAATGTCCTCTTTCAGAAAATACCATATTTGCTGTATCTATCTCATTAATATTTTGAGATATTAAGATTTTCCCTTTAACTTTGCACAAAAAACGGTAAAAAGTAAAGTGATTTGGTAGTTTTATCTGGAAAGTTTTTCGAGAGTTGTGAAAATTTTATAGGTTTAGACGTGTTCTTTCCGAATTTCTACTTTGCCACCTCGTATTTTTTCGTTCGCGCCGCCATATTGAAAAATTTTACCAAAAAACAGGTTTATCACAATATCTCCTTTGACTCATTTCCTTCTTACCGTGCGTTCGGTATTTTGATCTGAGTTCTCCGAGCTTGATTTTACCTTTCGGTTATTTGAAAAGTGTACCTACTCGGGCACACTTTTTCGCGTTCGTTTATTAAAATTTCGGGGACTCTGATATAGCATTCAACTACTCTGTTCGCTCCCTGGTCACGTGATTACGGCTTCGCTCAGCACGCTCTGCTCTCTGAGTAAAATACCGAACGCAAGGTTATTAACATGAAAATAGTTATAAAAATTGGTAAAGGCCTTTGCCCATGACTTTCCTCGGCAAACCACCCCACCCTTTTTTGAATAAACATCATTTAAATGTTTTTTTATGCACTTCAGGGATTAAAAGTACTCTTTTAATCCCTGCAAGGGAGTAAAGTGAGTCTTTTAATCCCCGGGATTAAATTTCACTTTATTTCCTGGGGATTCAATTTTTACTTTATTTCCCGGAGATTAAAAGTACCCGTTTATTCCCTGTTTTATATACTGGCCAGCAAAATCAACGCACCACTACTATTTTTGAAAAATATTTTTTATTTCATAATATTGATCAAATATTTCTATGTCTTGATTAAATATATTCTTATTCTAACTTAATAAGGGTATTAACAAAAGATAAATTTCCAAAAAAAGGTAAGAAAAAAAAAACAAGAAAATGCAAAAAAAAAATGTTTTTTAACTTTAGTTAAAAATAATTAATAACCAGTATTTCTTCCTCTATTTTGAATAATAGCACGGCAGCGATTTTTCATGTTAAAATTACCATATTTGGACAATATCTCCAGTAAGCCCATTCAAAGTGTTAGGAGGGTTAGGAAGCTCTTAAAAATGGCGATAGATCATGTTCCAGCCATCCTCAATTGGGTTAAAATCAGAACTGTTTGCTAGCCAATCCATAGTTCCAATTCCAACCTCATTAAAATAGAAATAAGTAAGTGGTGCGTTAATTTTTCTGACCAGTGTATATAAACTTTTTGTCTCGGGATTAAAAGTACCACTTTAGTCCCTAGGTGTATAATGTACTATTTTTTTTTTATAGAAAAATAAAATAAAATTCCTAAAACAGTATTTAAAAATAGAAAATTGATGATGACACACGGAAAGCGAAACGTTGGATTCAAATTTCCAGATCCCAATCTTGTAGAGCCGATGAACCTAGGGAACGTTCAAATTTGAACGATTATCTTGGAATAAGTAGTTTTCGAAATATACGACCAAATATGTTCGAACACAAAGGGCCTAATATCTTGAAAAGGAATAAAAAAACCGACAAAAACGTAGCTTTATTGAGTTCTAAAAACAGAACCTTTTTGCTAATGTAGCCAACTTCGCATTATTAACCGTTCTTGTTAGTATCGCATGGTTTTTTGGAACACCCTGTATATCTGCGAACAAAAACCCTCACATTTACGCTGCCGGTAGAGATTCAAAGTGTAGGTATACCAAAAATCGCTGTTCGGTTGAGCCGTTATTGAGCTGGAGCGCCAACAGACCGACATGTCTGTCTGTCGGTCTGTAGAGCGCCGACAGACCGACAGAATTGAGACAATATGATTTTCGTGATCTAGGGACCTGAAAACGTATAAATGTGAAAAAATCTCGAGGTCGATTTTTTACGTGAATACCAATAGTTCCCTCTATCGAGAGAAGTAAAAATGAATACCTTGTTTTAGCGTACGCGTGCTGCAAAGACGACTCAACGCGCGTTTTGACCAGAAAACTCATTCCACACCACCATGAGGTAGAGTAAGTGGCGTGGTTTTTTTTTATCGTGGTATCCCTAGTATCCCCCCAATGGATTATTACAATATTTATCGCATTCTCCATCGCTTCGCTATTTTTGATGGACTAGGTGCGGGTTTATCGATATCGTCTTCAGAACTGATCGAATCGTTACAGACTACTGATAGTTTCTTTCACATCAATGCATCATCCTTGATGGGATTAACAGCTTTGTTGTCGATTTGTAGTGGTAGTACCTACTAGGCTTCCGTCAGTAACTGCTGATATCTCAGTAGCGCACAAAAAAAACACTGATCTCTGAATGAGAATCTTGGGTAGGTACGTGGATGCTTCAGCAGTATTGCGAGCCTCACTACGTTCGGCTCGCAAACCTACCGCTTCAGCACAAAAAAGTAAAGCTTCTACTCCTAATACAACAATATACTATTTTTGGCGAAATTTTACAATATGGCGGCGCAAGCGGCAAAAATACGAGGTGGCAAAGTAGAAATTCGGAAAGAACACGTCTAAACCTATAAAATTTTCGAAACTCCCGAAAAACTTCCCAGATAAAACTATACTAAATTACTTTACTTTTTACCGTTTTTTGTGCAAAGTTAAAGGAGAATCTTAATATCTCAAAATATTAATGAGATAGATACGGTAAATATGATGTTTTCTGAAAGAGGACATTTTCAGCTTCTCGATAGAAATAATAATATACGGGGTGTTGTATTTGAAAAACTCAATTAAAATGAACTCTAAAATTGACTTGTTTAGACAAATATTTTGGACACCCTGTAGGTATACTTGAATCGAAAAATGAAGATAATGTAGGAGCAACTAGGCTGACATCAGATTACATGTAAATTTTTAAGGGAAATTAAAGTACAATGGCGGAGATATGACAATTTCAAAAAAGTATGTTTTGATCTAATTTTTTCTTCGAAAAATCATAACTTGGCAACGCTGCATTCAACCCAAATACGATTTTAAATTTGGAGACAGAGCACATAGAGGCTTCATTTGCCGCATTAAAACATATGGTATTTCATTAAAAAAAAAAACATAAAATTTGTGAAAACTCTTTTTTGAGACACCCTGTATACTTGAAAATAATTTTGGGTTATAGCAGAGATGAAATTCTAAAACTTTTATACAGAACATTTTCCATAAGTTCGACGGTTTATGGCTACTATTGACCGAGGCGCGCTTATTGGACTACCCTGTATGTGCCTGACATTAAGTGTATTTTGATCGAATTGAAATTAGATAAAATAATTCCAGATAAGATGAAAGTATTACCCACAACCGTAGTGATTTTTAAAGAGGTATAAAAAAATGGATCGAAAAAAACGCTATGCATTTACTTTGTTTTTCTTTCCAAACATCGAATAGAAAGTGACAGTAGAAGACGTCTTCTTTCCATTTTTCTGGTTAAAAACAGTACATCGATCGTATGGTGGACAGTACAAATGAAGGCTTATGGCAGTGTCGTAGCTTGAAACGTTTTCCACTCTGTGCAATCCTAGAGAATCTATAAAATAACTTTTTAGTTAATAATTTTAACAAAATTATTTATGACATGTTTTTTTTATAATATTATTTTCTTAAAAACAATATGTTGAGGAAATTATCCTCGGAAGAAATTTGACGGAATTATAAAAGTTTATGCACGGTTTGAATATGCAAACTTCTTGAACAAATGTCAACAAATCCCCAAGCAGGGGCGCCCGCAGAAAAATATGTAGGGGGGGTCAAAATCAATTGAATAAATTTTTTATGGGTAAAATAGGGCACTTCAGCCTAAAAAATCATCAAAAATAAATATTTATTCAAAAAAACTTAAAACAATTCGGAGATGCTTAGGTATACAGGGTGACAATTTGAAAAATAAAGTAGCAATATATCCCATAGACAAAAAATATTATCAGGAAGATCTCAAATAGGTATTGGAAGATTGGAGGGGGAACAAAAATGAGGCACTTTTTGAGCCTCATTCCTTAGGGGGTAGCTACCCTAACTTCTTTTTTTTTAAATACAAACCTGCCTTGTGTTGCACATCGTTGGATAGCTCGTTGCTTTCTCTTCACCGTTTTATAGTAAAATCTTAAATCGTAAAACAGTATTTTAGAAAGCTTCAATTGTATTTCAGAATAGTCATTTGTATTTAAGAAATTTATTCCATTATTCATTCATTATTCACACTTCTCTGTGGTTTGTTTAATGACTTGAGCTTTTTTTTATCATATTATGTTTTATTATTGTCTATTATACATATTTTTTGTCATACGCTCCCAAAAATAGCCATTTTACGGACTCATTTGAGTCCGTAAAATGCCCATTTTTCGGCCTAGTCCCTCAAAGTTGTCATGGCAACCTTTACGGACTATTCCAAAATTTGTTAGGTCTAAATTCGAAAAAATAAAACCGTTACCAATATTTGATTGTTTTTATCTATACTAACAATATCAAAAGCTTACAAATCTAATAATAATTGGTCGGATAGAAAGTTATTTAGATAAATGAAAATGGAATGAACAATTTTTTGCATGTTGAAAGCTGGTATCAGTAAACGAAATTACTCCTTTTCCATTGTCAGGTAAATCTACTTTCTCATGAGGTGGAGCAAATGCGAAAGATGTACTTGGAGATACATCCGTGGAAGTAGTCACGATTTTCTTTTCCCCCATAAGCATTTTGCAAACTTTCTTTTTTTTTTCAATAGATTCTTCTATGTAACCTTCCGCCACTGTGGACGACCTAAATAATTATTGTTGTTTAGATCAAGATCGGAAAATATTAATATTTTTACCTCCAACCTCCTAGGCATTTCAGCGATCTGAAATCCACATCTGCATCTGCAGCAAGAGTAGCAGCACTACGTCGGAAACAATGACCTGTATATTCGTTTGAGTTCGGCAGCTTTAAAAATGCTGCTACAAGCGAAGGCATCTTTCCGAATGAGTGAATGCCGACGCGTTGCACCGTGCATTTTCCTTTGCGATAAGAGATGACGTAGTCATGTGGTACATTTTTTGGTCGAAGACGAGCATATTTTCCATATAACTCAACTGGATTGACCACGTTTCCTTCGCCCACCACCGGAAACACTCTTTTTATATTAGTCTTTGTATCAGCTAGAGTTACTAGAAGGCAGTTGTCGTCTTTTTGTATGATGTCTTGCACTCGTAGAGAGTGCAATTCTTCTCTTCTACACGCTCCACAAAGGCCAATAACAAGAGCAACCTGATAATAAAATGGAATAAGAAACCATCCACATATCACCGCAAACTAACCTTAGTGAGTAAATAAGCTTCATCACTAGCCGTAGCCAAAAATTGATCGATCTCTTCTCTGGACAATACCTTAGACTTTTTAGCCTCATAACCAACTCAATTCCTCTTCAAAAAAGCAATAACCCTTGGAAATTTTTCTATCTGAATATTTTCTTTAACGCTTAATACTGCTTTCAGCATGGAATATTTTGACCAAACTGTCGATGGTTTGGAAGTTTGTGACTGTAATTTAAGAAAGTATTTCAATTTATAAGCCTCAAAATACATTTTGAGTAGATAATTAGATAAGTATTTAGTTTTTGAAATATTTACTTACTTTTTCGTGTAAATAATTCAGTAAAACATCTTCATTCACAACGAGTACTGCATGTTTGTGCTTCCATTCGACAAAAACATCATACTCCTTTTGATAAATTGCACGAGACTTCACTGGCAGTAAATCGAGCACTATTTCCTTGGCCTTATCAGCGATAAATGCAGGATTTTGGGACATTTTAAAATTTATTTTTGAATGAGAATGGAGAATTAGGCAATTCAATCCATCTGTCAGATAGGAAAATTCAATATGGCGTGGCGGCCAAGCAAGTTTGTTTCGAATGTGTTTTTATGCGTATTTCAAATTATTTTGCTAAGAGTTTTGCTTGCAACTTTGATTTGGATTATTTAATAAAATATTTGTTGACTAGGTACCTAAACTGATAAATCGGGCAGAATCTAGATATTTTTTTGGGTTTTTTGGCCCATGTGTGGCCGCCACGCCATCTTGAAAGTCACGTGGTTTGAATTGCCTAATAGTTTGACAAAATTATCAAATAAACTTGTTGCTATGATACTACGACATCAATTATTTTTATGCCAACATGATGCCAACCCTGCTAAATTTTTCAAAACAATTATCATAGAAAAGTTACATTCCAACGAACTGTCAAAAATGGCGTTTGTCAAAAGTTAGTCAGGACAAACAAATGTGAATTGCGCAAAAATAGTGGTAAAATGGCTGCATTTTGTTGTGTAGTGAAATGTAGCAGTAGAGGAGGACGCGGAACCGTTAAATTTTATAGAATACCATCGGAATTAAATCGAAAAAATCCTGAGAAACTTGAAGTGACACTTGTGTGACACAATAAAATTATGTGCCCTGACTGATTTTCTTTTTCTGGGAATGCCCTATTGTAAAATAGCGTATGACAAAAAATAGTGTTTGTCACACGTACCTAAACGAAGTTTCTCAGGACTCATCTGCTATTCCGGACTCGGCTAACGCCTCGTCCGGAAACAGCAATGATTCGTCCTGAAAAACTTCATTTTAGGTACTTGTGACAAAAATAACTAATTTAGTTCTATTTTCTATTATATACATTTAGTTTAAGTGCTTTGTCAACAAGATTGTTATTTCTTATGGCAATAAAGCTTTTTTTGACTTTGACTTTGACATATGGGGGATTTCTCAAATACAAATGACTATTCTGAAATACAATTGAAGCTTTCTAAAATACTGTTGGACATGGTGAAGTAATTTTGACTATCTCTAAACAAAAAAATTCTGCCATAAAAGTCTCCGATACACATCGACCAAATAATGTGTTTATTGCAATTCTATCTGCTTCTGCATGCCTCCAAAGAGGAATAAAAAACCTTTTAAAGGAGGTATCACATGGAGTAGTTTCTCATTCTAGAAAAATTATTACGGGCGGCTAGCCCCCCATACAAAAGGGGCAATAAGCACATTTGGTTTCCTTTTTGAGACTTTCAGGACAGAATTCTTTTTGGCAAGAGATAGTCAAAATTAATAGTTTTCAAAAGTGCTTACTTTTAAACATTGATATCGCAAAAACTTATCGTATCATTAAGATTTTACCGAGGATTTTGATATAAGACTGTAAAGGGAAAGCAACGAGTTATCCAACGATGTGCAGCACAAGCTAGGTTAGGGAAGCAATCCCCTAAGGGGTGAGGCAGGGTGCCCTATTTTAGTTCCTCGCATCCAATCCCTCAATTCGCCCGATTTGTGATCTTGATAATATTTGTGATCTTGATAGTATTTTTTGTCTTAAGAGATATTCCTGATTGCTATTGTTCAAATTGTCACTCTATATGTACCATCGTCACCAAAAGTATCTGGGACAAAAATAATGCATAACAATCTGGAGTAATTCTTCCGTCATTCATTTCAATGCATTTAATTCATAGTTTGATAAATATTTGACAATAAAATTAAGAGCTAATATGATGCTGTCCCAGTTATTTTGGTGACGATGGTACGAATATAGTACGGTGGCATTGGTGGCTAGGGTACGTTCCATTCCGTTTTCCTATTCCGATATACATTCACGTTTTCCATTTTAATAAAATTAAAGTCGCAAAGTCGATCCGCGATCATAGTTCAACTTGTATCAGAAATTTTAATATTTTTTATCATCAAGGAAAATAATTAAAATTTAAGAGATTTCCAGGGGGGCGAGTGACCCCCCCTGATCCCTTCCTGTGGGCGCCCTTGTCCCCAAGTACCAGAATGTTTCTTGTTTTGAAAATTTTGAATAATTTTCATGTCACTCTCTTCCGGCATAATTGCAAATCTGCACTCCACAGGTCCACTAATACACCTACAATAAACGCCTGTAATGTGGGTACTGAACGGAGCTCGGCCTCATTTCTTTTATATCAAAGGTTAACCACATCGCTCTCCTTCATGCGAACTTTTCTAGCAAATGTTGGTGTCTGATATTCTTTAACCAACGATATTTGGTTCGATGTTTGCCATCAACATCGGACTTTTTTCCTTCCAGGTGATTTACCAGAAAGGAACTTCTACCTTTAATTCAAGCAGTAGTATTTGTTGAATGACTGACTGCTAACATGTTCCCTACATATCTACTGGTCTGATTCTTGACTTTTCAACTAAAAGTATTTCTGACTTGTCAAAACAAAAGTAGGTGTCGTCTATTTTTAGTGGATTGTGGAGTAAAGTCTGTGGGGCAGCATGCAGTTATGCAGTATGTTGATGACTATCATGTGGGTATAGCTTCAAGTATAAAAATACCTTATGCACTGACAAGTTCTATAGCCCTTCTAATGCAAATCTGTTATTCGAACATCTGGAATTGCTTATTGGTGTGAAGGTGGAATTAAAAAAAAAAACATCCTGTTCTAAATGAAGAATAATCTCAAAATTTAGCTTAAATGATCAGCATTGCTTTGAAATCCCTGTGACATGCACCCCTAAAATGCTGAGATGCTTAATTGTCAGAAAGATCCTAATTTTCAATACGAGCTTCCAGAAATATGTTTTACAACTACAGTTCATTCTATAAAAAATAAACGTCACTATTTTTCCATAGAAGTTTCAATACACATGTTTCAACATTTTTTTAAATCATTTGGTGAATTTCGTAACTATCTATAAATTTTGCCAATTGATTGACATGAGCCATAGTAATTTTCCTACACCAAGCTTATCCAAATTTAGCGTTTAAAAAACAAATTGTGTACATTATTTTGTTCGGTACCTACGTATAAAAACCAAAGATAAGATAACACATTTTTCGGAACATACAGTTTACTATTGAAACAAATCGCGTTGCCATGCAATTTAAATATGGATTGAGTCAGTGGATCGTATGAAAATCCGCATTTTAATTATAGTATGTAACGTTTTTTCGAAACTTCTTGGCAAAACTAAACTTTTGGGGCAAATTCAGTGATTACTTCAAAATGACGAAAATCCTTATAGTAATAGGAAGAAAAATGCAGAAAAAGTACTAGTAGTGCTTGGCATTGACACCTATTAAGACTCAATTAAATTCCAATTGATTTTTTTCTTTCTTCGAAATAATTATTAAAATGTCAAACCTACCATTAATATAACAAACTTCGTTTAAATTCAATCTAGTCCTCCCAATTTCTCCCAGTTCTGATTCTTCTTTTTCTGGCCAGGCAAATCTGATTTCTTCCAGTGATCCTTGAAGCATTTTCATGAAACAGTGCGAGTTGGCGTGGTCGTGTATCCCGGATCCCTGCCCTTCACCCCAACAAAGTAACATCAGATTATATTTTCCGTTGCCATTGTCAACAAGGTTTCTTGTGTATCTAGAATAGGTATTAGGTATTATAGAAATTTACAAATAAATTCTGCATTTTACCTAATTGATTTTTTCAACTTGCAACGATCTAAAAGCAGTTGAGCTATACAGGGTGTCCCACGAAGTTTTACCCAGGTGATAACTTCGGAACGCGTCATCCAATATAATTGAAATTTTGAAGGATCTATGGGTAACTTTTTGTGCCGCTTCTACAATATGTCATCCAATTTCACCACTTTCGCTACAGTTTCGTTCAAGTGATGGCAACTTTTGAATATTAAATGTAACTTATGGTAGGTATATTGCGGCATTTTTTGTTAGAAAACTAAATTACAAAATCGGCAATGCCATATTTTTTATAGGGCTTTGTTGAAAAAAATGATAGAAAAACTGCAAAGTGGAACATTTGATGACGCGTTCCGGAGTTATCACCTGGGTAAAATCTAGTAGGACATCGTGTATATTATTTTACCTACGAGCGTGCGGGAAAGTGCACTTTACTGCACGTATTTGCAAATGGAAAGTATCACTTTACCGCACACTATGCGGTAAAGTGCACTTTACCTAATAGTGTGCGGTAAAGTTAACTTTACAGCATAGTATGCGGTAAAGTAGAATACAAAGTGTGCGGTAAAGTGCACTTTACCGCATAGGGTGCGGTAAAGTAGAATTTGATATTTATAATCAAAAATCCTCTCTTTTTCAGAAAATGGATTTTTGATCATTTCTAAATCTTATCTAATTTCATTAATTAATCTGATTCATTAATTAATTTTATCAATGCCTTTTTTTGGAGATGTAGATGCTCATAGGTAAAATTTTGTACCTAACACATGCGGAAAGTGCCTTTACCGCCCTTAACGGCTTGACCGAACTCCGCTTCACGTCGTTCGTTCAACTGCCGTTGCGTGCGATAAAGTATCATTATTCCGCATTTGTTAGGTAAATAACTATTATTTTTAACCATATATGTAATGTTGACATTCGAGACTTTTTGAAAATTTGAAAATGTCACTTTACTGTATTTTCATTTCCCTGCTCCACTTCCCGTCCTCATTTCATTATATTTATGTGGCAGGTATTTTCAAGTTTTTTTCAAAATTGATGACAATGACATAAAATTTAAGCAAATAGCATGAGGCTACGTTCACATTCAATTTCATTTCTAATGTAAATTGGCAAAAATTATGGTTAAAAATAGAATAGTATTCTATGCTCGACGGGAAATTTAATTACTGTCTCGAGATATAGTTTATCTCGACGCTACGTCTTTGGGCAATATCTATTATAATTTTTTATCAGTTCTTGAAAATGATAATATTGAGACTCAAAAAAGTACGTAAGGATATTCCTTATATGTTTGGTCCAATATGTTTTAAATTTTTATCTTCATACGCATAATCTTTTTGATTATTTTTTGTTCACTTATATGAGTTGATAATACTAAATATTTTAAAATGAGTTTAAGTAAATGAAGAATTTCATTATTATATTATATATTATATAATAATATTTTTTTATAGTCTATTTCATTGCAGTTGATAACTAAAATCGAGGTTTAGGACCATAAAACCATTGTAAGCCATAGGGTTTCCTATGACTTTATGGTCCTAAACCTCGATAATATGAGCTATCAACTGCAATGAAATAGACTATAGACATAGACATCATCAATACAAATTTGGAACTAAGGTCCGTTTCACCAGGGTTCATACTTGACCTTGAAACTTGAAAAAAAAGGGTTGTCGTAGATTAATTCATATGACACATTCAATTTTTTGACAAATTAAAATGAATGACTTCTGGTTTAAGAACCGACGAACATTTTTGACGTCATTGATTTGTTTCACTGAATTTTTATTTGTTAAACAAGGAAGGCAAATGCTGGTGGCAAGTATTTCTAAAAAAAAACTTCTCCAAAAGATATTGTTATTAAGAAAAATACAAGACATGGATTTTTTTGGTTTATGAGAGACAATAAATAATAAAATCATTACCTACCTGAATCTGTCAAACTTAGCAAATTTTTTCCATTCCACTGGGTTCGACTTGTAAGTTTTCATCACATAATGCACCAAGTCAACATTCACATTATCGCTCTCAAATAACTTATTAAGCTCCCTTATTAAATCCGATAACGAACCGACTTCAGGTAAAGAATGCCCCAAATGCTTAACCAACTTTATCTCACGACACTCGTCATCTTCGTTGTTGTTATTAATCATTTCTGATCTATATTGGCAAATTGACATTCTATTATCTTTTTAATTTTATATTAAAAGAAATTAACACTTGCTCACTTGTTTTCAAAGTAAACTTCAAGAAGCGTATTTTTTATTTATTACTCGCGACGATACAACCGATAAGGTTCGGGTCAATAGAGTGTTGGAATTTTGCTTCTTTCAACTCACTAGCAAGAAGATTCATTATGATGTTCATTATTGTTTACATACTTCGAACAGATTATTATTATATTTCCGATTATGGCAGTTATTGCCGCAATTATAGTGACCATGCCATGAACAGGCCTGAAATGTGAATGGTTTTTCTACAGGTTAAAAAGGGGAGAGACGTTTCAGGTAGACATGTAATTGAAAGTTTGCAAAGGACATGATTTGTAGGGGTCAATTATTACTTAACAGGGTGTTTCGCCAAAATAAATTAAGCAATGAATGACAATAGGGGAACAAGGGTGTTTTTGTGTGAGGACAGTTGCGGTAAGATGTGAAAAATATACATGGTTCAATAGACCGATATGTTCACTAAAATTTTTGGCAACTTTTTAAAGAAATTGTCTACAAATTATGATTTTTTTTTGTCACTAAAACATTGCCTATTTATATTATTATTATTATAAATCAAGTTGCAGTTTTCGAGAAAAAAACATCCAGTTTTCGACTGTTTCTAGGTGATATCATTTATATTTTTTACCGCGCAATAGTCCAGCGAAACGAAAAGGCGAATTATCTGGACGATTCTAGACGCAACCACGCGCTATAAAACAGAGTCGGCCACCAGTAAGACGGTAAATTATGATTTAGTTTTGTGGCTAGTTAAGCTTGATTGTAGTTGAACGAGGTGTTGTAATAGTGCTAGTTTCGTCATGATTTTTGTGTTATTAGTCTTGAATGAAGGTAAATTAATTTTGGAATAGTAGTCTCGCCTATCTGCGCACCCGCTTAACTTAATAATAAGCTCGTCGTGGAGGACTTAAACGTTCCTTACTTTGTTTAAAGATAAGAAACCAAAGTAGCAGAAGCGTTCTCAACTGTTGAAAAGATAAAAGTCTCCCAAGAAATTTTTAGGAGACAGACATGTGGTTTATCCATTAAATAGTCGATAGACACAAGCACACAAGGTGCTAGAAAAATATTGTATTAAAAAAATAAATTGCTCAAAAAATTGGTACGCCCCTGGGTTTTTTGAGAAACTAAAAATTATTGGTATAGTCTGTGCACCCAGAGGTTACCCGTAAGTTGTAAAACGACAGAGCTGACAATAAATTAGTACAAGTGAACGAATTTATAAAGCCCTTTATCTACAAGCGTTTGGTTAGGACGTTTTTACATAACCATTTTTCAAGTATTTGAGTTATGTCATGACTTATGGGACTCATAACAAAACAGTGGTGTTATGGACTAGGTTATGAATTCATAACACAACTATGGCTATTTGCACGAGTTTAACTTAAGGGATTTTTAATCCAAGTTAAGCTTCGAATGTTACTTTTGTTTCCACAAGAGTCACATTCAAAGTTTCACTTAGATTAAATATCCCTTAACACATTGAGTGCTACGGCCATTTTGGGCAAGTTTCCCAGGGGGCCACATTTTGTTTTTAGATTTTTTGAGTTTGACTCTTGAAATAAGTTAGCTTTAGGCGTTTTTTGATATTTTTTGTGTGATTCAACTGTCAAAAGAGGTTTTTGACGTATTACCCTTATATGGGTGACGTGGCCTGCCAGGTAATATTTTCTGGATTTTTGCCGTCGAGGGCCACGTAACCCATATTTGGGTGACATTAGATATTTTGTATTCCTATTGATTTTGTTTTTTACAGATTTACTGAGAGAAAAGCATGAAGAAAGAAGGAAGAAGAACATGAAGAAATAAAGAATTTTAGAGACCAGAAGCGAAGAATCTTAATTTTTTGGCTTTATTGGAGAAGCTGGTTCTAGATTCATCCGCGAATCAATAGTGACCAGCTTCTCAATAAATAAAGCCGAAAACTTAAGATTCTTCATTTTTTTTCAGAACACAGAATAAGAAACCAAAATGAGTAAACGACAAAAAGCACTAAGCGAGAAAGAATTAGGAAAAATAGTTGGGGAACTAGATTTGGATGACAATGAAGGGGGTGTTAGCTCGGACGATTCAATAGCAGATCCCCTATGGGAAGATTTTGATGAGAGCCCGATCGTATCGCAGGAGTCTTCTGGAGGTGAAAGTGATCAAGATGTCAGTGAACTATTAGAGAATCTGAGGGCAGAAGAAGAAGATGAGGAAGAACTGGAGGAGGAAGGTGATGAGGAGGGAAGAATAGCAGCAGTAAATGTAGTAGAAGGAGAAATTTAAAAAGATGGACAGTATGAGAGTATCTGGACAGAATTTGAAGGACGTCAGAAATATTTCGAATTCGTAGGACCTCATGGTTTGCAAAAAGAAATTCCAGAACATGTATCACCTCTGGACGTCTTTCTAGAAATCTTAGATGATGAAGTCCTGGATTATATAGTGACAGAGACTAATAGATTTGCTCAACAGACTAGTTCAAAAAGAAAAAAAAAGACTGCCAGAGTAACCAAATGGAAGGATACAAATAAAGGAGAGATTAAGAAATTTCTAGGATTGTCGATGTGGGTGGGACTTGTAAGAATCAGTTATTTACCTAATGATTGGGCAAAGCAAGGAATTTATCAGAACAATATCCCCACGGCAGTCATGTCTCGAAAGAGATACCAATTATAATTGTCCATGCTACATTTCAACGATAATGAGAATGTGAATGTTACTGCAGGTGATCGACTTGCCAAAATTCAACCTTTGGTCAACATTCTTCAACGAAAGTTTCAAGACTTGTTCTGTCCTGATAAAGATATTGTGATAGATGAAGCCCTTGTTCCATGGAGGGGCCGATTAGTGTTTAGACAGTACATCCCGAATAAAGCCCACCGCTACAGCATCAAATTATTTAAACTTTGTTCAGTTGGTGGATACACCTGGTCGATCAAAATCTACGGAGGGAAATAATCTTCTATCGGAATCCGAGAAACAGGGCTAGCACATAATGATTGCATGTTACTAGCTAAAGACCTTCTAAATCAAGGTAGGACGCTCTACATAAATAATTTCTACACTAGCTACGAGCTAGCCCGGTCTCTGTTAGAACAGAGGACACATGTTGTTGGAACGTTGAGGTCAGAGAGAAAAAAAATACCTAAATAAGAAGAGGAGAAATTGTATCAAGAGAGGATCAACATGTCATAGTCGTTCTTATGTGGAAGGACACGCGAGACGTGCGGTTATTGTCAACCAAACATTCACCCATACTTGTTCCCGTACCTGATTAAAAAAACATTCTCAGTTTTCGCTTTGTAGATAATACGTTGTACATCACACGTGCGTTTAAATATGACTACAAAACTCGTGTGATTAGGTCGACTCGGTCTACGACTTCGTCGTTCTAATCTCTCTCACTCGTTATTGTAATTATGTTCATAAACGCACTTGTAATGTAAATAACTATTTTCAAACTAATTTTAAAGTTTTTGAGTTACCCACGTCGAAACTCAATATCTATAAAGTAGTTGCCTATTTAAAATTTACTAATAGCTATTTATATAACAAGTACATAACGTAAGGCTTTATTGTACGAATAATTTTATGGTCGAGCGAGCTTGCGAGCGAGGCTATTAAATAATGAATCAATAGAGCCTGTTTATGTAAGCGTTATATACATGATTTTATGTACGATTCTGACTGGTTTTTGTCAAAACATAAAAAAATTGAATGAAAAAAGTAAAATTCGCGTAGATATACCTGTTTCACCTTGGCAGGTTGTCAGGACCTGTTTCACTTTGGTAGGTTGTCAGGACCTGTTTCACCTTATCAGGTAGTCCAGGTAGGCAATAAAATAGCACTTTATTTTACTAGTAAAATAAAGTAGCACTTTATTTTACTAGTACAATAAAGTGCTACTTTATTGACGCAAAACTGTTCTATAATTAGCACTTTATGGGTCAATCGGACATAAACAATCTTATTTTTCGCTTTGTAGATAAAACGTTGTACATCACGATCGCGTTTAAACATGACAACAAAACTCGTGTGATTAGAACGACTCGGTCTACGACCTCGTCGTTCTAATCTTTCACATTCGTTATTGTAATCATGTTTATAAACACACTTGTAATGTAAATAACTATTAAATAATTATTACTTACTTAATTATATTATTATTATTTCCTAGTTTCTACGTGTAGAAGTTGGTGCCTAAATTATACCTAAAGTAATAGTACCTACCTGATAATTTTCCAGGTAGCAATTAGCAATAATTAATGCATAGTTTACAATAAGTAGGGCGGTACTTTCTTACTTTTAAATAAATTGGTTATTTAGATACAACTGACTAAGTATTCATAGAAGTCCACCCAGAAGAACGAAAATTGGTGCTATCTGTGGAACAGTATTTTACTGCATAAAAATAAAATTGTGGTTTATTGAAGTCCATCCTAGCATTTCGAAAACATACTGCTGAAGCATGTGGAAATTCCAGAAAAACTTTATGTAACATCCATAATTTGGAAAAAGACGGCAAAATTGACCAGAAGGTAAAGAGGAGTAGATTAAGTTCTAAAAGTTATGACTCACTTATCAGACAATGTAAAATACGATATTAAGCAGGAAATTTATAATATGTACCTACAAAACAAAGGAATTCGTTAGGCTAGATACTTTGCAGCGCCATCTAGAAGAAAAATGATATATGCCATATAGGAAAAACCAGTTTAAGAAAAGTACTGTCACAGTTAGGTTTTAGGTATAAAAAATCCAACAACAGAAAATTTTTATGTGAGTTACAACATGTTATTAGTAAAAGATGGGCCTTTCTAAGAAACTACTTGAAAAATAAAAACTCCACTTCTCGAAAGATGTCGTGATGATGAGACATGGAAATTTGCGAAAGAAAGCCAAGACAAAAGAGCATGGCAGGATGAAACCAAGTATTGTTATTCCACGACAACGGGTAAAGGAAAACGATACATGATTCTACATGCAGGCAATAAGAATAAATTTAGACCAGGGGCAAGTCTGATATTTTCTGCAACTTCAAATTCACAAGACTACCATAATAGCATGAACGCAGAGTTATTTGAAGAAAGTCTTCTGAAGAGACGCGAAGAACCCACTTTAA